CTAATCTGAAGCAAGCTTTTGAATTTCTTGGAATTTTAGTTCTTTATGGGTTAAATAAGAATAACAATAACATGTACAAATGAAAGAATAATCTTGAGCACTTAGCACATGCGGCACACAGTGAATCCTTAGTAAATGCTAGGCATAATAAATATAAATAACAATTATACAATAAATACATAAACACCAGTGAGCAAACTCCATATGATATAAATTTCTAAATCTCTAGGATTGTATTCCCTTTACTTTCTTTATAAAAAGCACAACTAAGCATAATAATTTAACTCATTGATTGTCTAATTTTTAAATTACCAACCTCCATGGAAGATTTCAGGTGACTAATACCTCTCTCTAGAGTTAACTTGGTTGTAAAGATAATAATATAAGTCAATAGATTTTCCCTTTATATTTCTCCAGAATCCCAAATAATTCCTTGGGAGTTAGATAAGGACTCCTTAAATGATTCAGAACTTTCTGATACAATTTACAACACCTTGCATTTTAGCAGGTGTTCAATATATTTGTTTTGAATTAAAATTGGATTAATATATAATATATTAAAATCACTCCAACGGAGGTGGCACAGATCTTAAGGGTCCAGTTTGACCACCCTGTTGATGTTTAATCTCATCTATGTATCAATCTTAGCCAGATGTCATCCAATTCTCTTATAAGGCAATGCATTCCTGTTATGAGTTCGAGATTTCTGAAAATCTCTCTCTCAGCTTTCTTGGAGGCCAGACTCAGCACTTTCTCACATTTCCAAATAGCAGATCCAATTCCACAAAGCCTTAATAAGTGAAATAGATTGTGCTGAATATTACCAACTGTGGTTGTGGAATAATGAAGAGAATTGGCATATTCCACTGGAAAATTTAATTAAAATTCTCATTAGACATCTTTGACTTCCAAGAAATCCCTCTCTAGATATTCCAGCAATGTTACTTCTCCCTGTTCTTCTTCTCCTTACCCTAAATTTAATATCTGAAATTTTATATATATACATATATATAATTAAGTATATAATATATAGTGTGTGTGTGTATGTGTATATATATGTGTATATATATGTATATGTGTGTGTGTGTGTGTGTGTGTGTGTGTATATATATATATATATATATATATATATATATATATAACCTGAGCTGAAACAATTCAGCTCAGGTTCAACACCAAAGCCCTTCAGCTAGAAGAACGCATTCTCTTGAAAAGCAGGCCAGTGACCATCCATTATTCTTTCACAGACATTGGCTGAAAACAACTAGTATGTAGTTGTTTCCCTTTCATTTCATGTGATCTATTAAAACATTTGCCCAGTCAAAACAGATCCCCCTTTTTTGATAGGGTGAGGGGATGTTGGTGGGAGAAGGGTATCTGTAGAGAGGGGCATATGTGATTATGCTGGTAAAAAGTGGTTTTCTCCACATCATACCTAATTTATAATATTAGGTAACTGAGTGTTCTAAAAAAGAAGAGTTATAATTCATTAAGTGCCTAACTTGCTCTTATTTTTTTAAAAAGATTTTATTTATTTATTCATGATAGACATAGAGAAAGAGAGAGGCAGAGACACAGGCAGAGGGAGAAGCAGGCTCCACTCTGGGAACCTGACATGGGACTCGATCCCAGGACCTCAGGATCATGCCCTGGGCCAAAGGCAGGTGCTGAACCGCTGAGCCAGGGATCCCCACTAACTTGCTGTTAAATGGTGATTAAAGTGTTTCTATAACATTTTATTGAGCTATAATTCACATACTGTAAAATTCACCTTTTTGATGTATACAATTGGACAAATGTTAGTATATACACAATCATCACCACAAGAGAAACCCTTCTCTCAGTAGCAATCACTTTTTTTTTTTTTTTTTTTAGTAGCAATCACTTTTCATTCCCCTCTCTCCTTAGCCCTTGGCAACCATTGATCTGTCTATTCTGGACATTTCATATAAATGGAATCTAAAATTATTTTGAAACTCACTTATTTCACTTAGTATAATGTTTTCATCTATGTTATAGCATGTATCGTACTTGTTAATTTTTATAGCTAAATAGTATTCCATTATATAGATATACCATATTGATATATTCCTTGGTTGATAGATGTTTTAACTGTTTCTACTTTTTGGCTATCAAAAATAATGCTGCTATAAATATTCATTTGAATGGACAAATGTTTTCATTTCTTTTTTTTTTTTTTCATTTCTCTTAGACATATATATATATATAGGAGTAGAATTGCTAGGTCATTTGGTAACTCTATGTTTAACTTTCTGAGTGACCATTAAATAGTTTTCCAAAGTGGTCACATCATTTTACATGCTCCCCAGCAAGCGTAAGAGCTCCAACTTTTCCACACCCTCACCAACACTTGTTATTGTCTTTTTTACTATATCCATCTTAGTGGGTGTTAGATGGTATCTTGAAGTGCATTTCTCTGGTGGCTAGTGATGTCAAGCATCTTTTCATGTATTTATTCCCATTTGTATATCTTCTTTAAAGAAGTGCCTGTTCAAATCATTTGTGCATTTTAAATTGAGCTGTTTTTATTGCTAAACTGTAAGCTATTTTAATATTCTAGATAAAAGCCTATTATTAGATGTATCATTTGGAAATACATTCTCCCATTCTGTAGGTTGTCCTAATAATAATTTATTTTTAGGCAGCAACTTGAGTTATTCAGGGATTAAAGCTTAATTATGGATATCATCCAAACTCTTTCCTTCTCTCCTGGGTTTGTTCCAATTTAGAAGCAGCAGTGCTCATGGCATTCTCCATAAAGTAGAGAAAGGAAAAAAGGTCCCAACAGTGCCTAGCAGTGCCGTGTTCAATTTACTTTGGCAAATGAATGAATAAAATTTGTATGTTTATTCTTGGTTCCCACCACTACTCTGACTTATTGAATCCTTATTCTGGATCCACTGTAACAGTAATGATACTCAGTTCATGGCCTGAAGGCCCCCAGGGGGAGCTATGAAGTACTGAAAAGATGTACCTGTTTCCATTTCTATGCTCTAAGCTGTCTACTCCATATTAAACACACTGAAGTGTAACATCGTTATATGGGAGTCCACAGATTTTCATGGTAAAAGCAGTTTCACGTTCTACCCTCTAGTTTGAGACTCACTGGACTTATGAGAAAGAAACAGCTGTTTTTTGTCAGTTCAATGTTGACTCTATAGTGTTTTCAATGGTCCCAGGCATTTCTATGTCATTTATATTAAGGTTGTTTATTTGGAGTTTCACTTAGAGATTTCACTTGCTTTGGGCCCTTGACCTAAGAGTGGTTCCTGCAGTGAGGTTCACTGTCTCCTGGACCAAGCAAATAGCTGTAGGGAGGTGTTGCTGTGAGGAAGGAAAGCTACATCTGCCTACCTGTCAGATCAGCTACATTCCCTTGGGACACCTTAGGGTGAGAGGTGATTCCGCCAGACTGCCTGCATTTCCACATCACTTAGAACAATTTATCAAGGTCACTTGACATAATCCCCTTGTACATTTTAAGTATGGACTCATGGGAAGAATCAGAATGATTCAAAAATGGGAAGAATTAGAGGAATTCCAATTAGGACTGCAGATGAAAGTAAGAAATCAATGAAGGCCTATGTATGAAGGAAACAAGCTGGGTAAAGGAAAAAGAACAGTGGAAAGAGAGACACTTCTTTGTAACTGGATATAACCAAGAGTCTAACTTTACACAGCAGAACTGGCTGGCCAGCTTGTGTTACTGAGCTTAGTTACCCATTCAGTAGACTCACTTGGATGACTGTGGGCATCATCTGTACGACATACATATGAGTGCAGATACCCACCAACTAACAAAATAGGACACACAGTTATGAGCATGCAAAATGGTCATATCAGAAAGACAGGACAAAGAATTTTAAAGAAAATTAGTGGTCTTAGGGAGTTAATATGAACAAGCTTTTTGTCTCAGTACAGGTCAAAAAAAATTTTTTTAAAGATTTATTTATTTCAGAGAGAGACAGAGAGACAGTTGGGGGGAGGGGCCAAGGGATGGGGAGAGTGAGAGAGACTCTCAAGCAGACTCCCTACTGAGCATGGAGCCCCATGCTGGGCTGGATCTCATGACCCCTGACATCATGATCTGAGCTGAAATTGAGTCACTCAACCGACTGAGCCACCCAGGTGCCCTGAAGAAAAAAAAAAATTTAAATCTAAACAGCCATCATTAATATCATTTTATAGTATATAGGGGATGCTTTTTCTTCTCTCATAAGTGACAACACTTTTAGGTTTACCTTATGGTTTTCATCATAAGGAAATCTTCTTTACTTGAAAGGTATTACTGAAGGATGGACTGTAACAGAGCTATATTTGCCACATGAGTGGCTAATTTAATATATGATACCTTAGATAGGTAGATTCTACATGAGGATTTGGTAGTTCTGATTGTCATAGACAGATGAAGGCAGGATCAGAGTTACTCTCACTTTCTCAATGAAAGGATGAAAACATTTAATCAGATTTATACCACAAACCAGAGTTTCTGTTTTAGTTTCTGAATGTCAAATATTCCTGTTTTCTGCTGTTACATCTGTGTTTAAATTTTCAATGTTCAGGATTGGGTTGACAGATTTAAATCTTTGATATTTGCATATTTAAAAATCCCTTTGATTTTTTTAAAACATTTTATTTATTTATTCATGAGAGACAGATACAGAGAGAGAGGCAGAGACACAGGCAGAGGGAGAAGCAGGCTCCATGCAGGAAGCCCGATGTAGGTCTTGATCCCAGGACTCCAGGATCAGGCCCTGGGCCAAAGGTGGCGCTAAACCACTGAGCCACCCGGGCTGCCCTCCCTTTCATTTTCTTTTGCAAATTATGGCTACAATGTACATGTCTGTGTTTTTCTCTATTAGGTTTTTATATACAGAAAAACATTCATCTTACATTGGAGTCCTAATGGGCTCATCATGTTTGAGAGGGAAAGCTGTGGAAACCTCCAGATCTAAATTCCAAGTTAGTTTTCAACTCACCACACCATTTCACTTTCCAGTTACGATTGGCATCAACTCCACGGCAGTGAAACATTGAGTTCCTTGACCTTGTTTTCCTCCAAAATCTATCCTACATATAATTAAGAAAAGAGGTGCAGAAAACATACTCAGGTTATCCACATGCGTTTCAGTAGCACAATTGGTGAATGAATCACAGCACTGTGGGGAGAGTTCCTCCAGGAACAAATACAGGGAGTAAAAAGAGGATTGGATGAGCAGGAGAGACCCAGGGTCATGCTCCAATTTCTGCCACACACTTGCTATCTCTTCTCTTGGCCTCATTTCTTCTCAGGAAAATTGAGAAAGTTGGACTAGACTAGTGACTTTTCACAATTTCTTTGGCAGGAGAAATCTTTACTTAAACGGAATCTTACGCAAAGCCAGACATATAAACAGAAGTTGCTATTTTGATGGGACAAGGAGTAGAAGTCTCTTCTGTAGTTCTGGTATCACTAGGCTTTCTGCCCACCAAGCTTCCTTCCTGATCTATGGCTGTTTTCTATTTATTCAGTCTCTCTTTTCAATTGGATAGGCAAAGAGACTTACATTGGTCCAGCTAAAATGGTATCCATCAACATTAAACACAGGCATGACATAGAAATACAGATGATTCAACATTTTTCTCATGGTTGGGTCACTCCTATATGTTAGAAGAGCCTAAAAGACAAAAGTGACATTTTTCTTACAAACTGATCCCAAATACAGGTTTAGAAAAAATATATGAAAATTTTTTCCATCCATGGAAATACCAAATATATTTAGTTAAAAGGTAACAAGCTATTATGAACTATATTCTTTAATATCATATATTTTTTAAATACATTTTTATTTAAAAAAATTTTATTTAAATTCCAGTTCATCCCATACAGTATAATATTAGTGATTCAACACTTTCATATAATACCTGGTGCTCATCACAGCAAGTGTATTCCTTAATCCTCATCACTTATTTAACCCATCCCCCCACCCATATCATATATGCTTCATTGAGATTTTTATCCCAAACTTTTTGTTATGGATATATTTTAGCAGAGGCAGCAAAACAGATTAATTAGATAGTCTCTGATGGTATTTCAGAACTGGCTTAATTTTAGGCTGCTTAAGAAAGCAAGTATTTAGATATGCTTTGGTTTAATCAGTTTTTTTTAAAGATTACTTTCAATTGTAGACAAAATAATTACCCAAATATTTTGGTATCCTTACATGATATATCATAACATAAGCTCATTTCATATGTCACTTAATTGTTTATATCTAACAGGTACCAGACTCAAGTCTTGGGACTTGTTGTATTATCACTGTTCTCTCCTGATTTTTCTATAAAAAGTTTAATAAACATTATAACTTCTCTGTCATTTTTATCATGGCTAGCTTCAAAGTCTTGCTCTTATAATTGGGTTTCACTTATATTGTGTCTGACACCAAGCCTGAAGATTTCTGTACTGCATGTTTGTTCTCAGACAGAAAAGCACCGAATGTGCTAAGAATACAGACATTTTGAAATACTACTCTTATGGAATGGACTTATAAAACAATTCTTTTCATTTTGTCCATGCATAAGGTATCTTAAGAGAAATAGGAAATTGAAGATGGCTGCCTCTGGGAAGAGGACTCATGGGACAATGTATGGGAAAGAGAATTATCTGTAATATTATATACATTTGGATTGTTTGAATTTTTACCATGTTAAAAAACAATTCAAAATAAAAGAATTCTTAAATTATAAATATACCACTTTGGACAATTTAATACTTAAAAATTCAATGTTCTTTAGCACAGAAGTAGGATTTCTGAATCCTTCATAAACAACATTGGCATTTACATCATGAGAATGCTGTTCAGAGAGAGCAATCCAATAATATATTAGAAACTATCATTATATTAGAAATAATGATGAAAATATAGGGATATGCTCAAGAACATGAGTTAAGTACAACTTTACTGAATCTAATTTAAATACATAGGAGATTAACACAAGTTAATAAAAGTTAATACAATTCTTATTCTCCTCTAAAGCTCAATAAAATTTTTTTTGGCCACATAGCTTCAGTAGAATTTTCATTCTGCTTGAATTTATATTAACTGTCTAATGCTTCAAACTAGAAGAAAATTCCCAGTATATGATTGTATATATCCTAGAATTTTGATTTCATCTAATTGATGGAGGTTCCCCAATGCCTAGAGGAAGTTTCCTGTTGGGGATGGTGGAGACAGAGCTATAGGGTCAGCTACATTTTTTCTTATTTTTTTCAAACATTTTATTTATTTATTCATGAGAGACAGACATAGGCAGAGGGAGAAGCAGGCTCCCTGCAGGGAGCCTGATGTGGGACTCCATCCCAGGATCCCGGGATCATGACCTGAGCCAAAGGCAGATGCTTAACCAACTGAGCCACCAGGTGCCCCAACACTTCTGTTGATTTATTAATTTTAACTACACAATTAAATGGTTTTCCTTTTTAGGTAAATCCACAATACATTGATTCCTTATTTTGTTAATGGAGAGTTAGGTTGCTCTCATTGTTACAATATTGCAATGAACATTCTTGCACATTTCTCCCAGAAGTGTGAGAATTTCTTTAGATACATGTAGGAAGGGATTTGCTGGGCCATGGATTTATATGCCCTCCACTTTACTAAATGCTATTTCTCTCTAAATAATACTCTCATCTGCAGTGAATGAGAATTCCCATTGCTCTACAACCTTACCAACCTTTGATATTGTTGAGCTTTTAGTTAAAAAAAATCTAATGGGTATGAATTTGTGCTTTTGTTGTTTTACTTCACATTTCCCTCATTACAAATAAAACAGCTTTATATAATAGGTGATTGTATAAATTGCTCACTCATTTTTCACATTTAAAAAATTAAACCCTACCCATTCTAACATTTGGGATCTTAATCCTTTGGTTATATGTATCATGAACATATCCCTTTCTTGTAGCTTATTGATTCCTATTTTCATTATATCCTTGTCATACGTAAACTTTTATCACCATTGTATGTATAATTTTTTTTTGTTTGTTTAAACATTTTATTCATGAGAGAGAGAGAGAGAGGCAGAGACACAGGTAGAGAGAGAAGCAGGCTCCGTGCAGGGAGCCCAACACGGGACTCGACCCCGGGGACTCCAGGACCACACCCTGGACTGAAGGCAGATGCCTAACCGCTGAGCCATCCAGGGATCCCCTATATGTTTCATTTAAGAACTCATCTCTGCCTTAAGATGGTAAAAATGGTATCTTGTATTCTTTTCAGAAAGTTGTTTTAAAGTTTGTTTTCAGGGATCCCTGGGTGGCGCAGCGGTTTGGCGCCTGCCTTTGGCCCAGGGCGCGATCCTGGCGACCTGGGATCGAATCCCACATCAGGCTCCTGGTGCATGGAGCCTGCTTCTCCCTCTGCCTATGTCTCTGCCTCTCTCTCTGTGACTATCATAAATAAATAAAAATTAAAAGAAAATAAAAAAAAATAAAGTTTGTTTTCAAATGTAAACTTAAACCTCCTAGAAATGATTTTTTACATGATGTAAGGTGAGGATTTATTTATTTTTCAGTAACAAATTGTGCCACTGTACTCATTTGGATGGTTTATCTTTTCTCCAGTGAGTTCACATGCCACCTCTGTCCAATGATTTCATTTGTGCGTGGAATTGCTCTAATGCACTTTATTTTCTATCCATTCACTAAAACCACACTATCGTTTATATAGAACCTGCTCAGTCAGGTAGGATGTGTCTCTTCATGTTGTTCTACTTCAAAATTGCCTTGGATATTTTTGGCCGTTCTCACTTCACATTGATTTTGAAATTAGGGTTGAGCACATCGAAGATGTCCTCTCTATGCTAGGTTGTTTTTGCATTTATTGGATGCTGAATTTTAGCATGTAATCCTTTTCATATCATATAGTTTTTATAATCATGTTTAACTAGTCATTTTCTATTGTTAGATCATCCTTGAATTCCTGGGATAAGCTCCTTTGGTTATGATATGTATTCTTGTTATATTAGCTGGATTCAGGTTGCTAATATTTACATCTATATTCCTGAGATAGACCTGTAATTTCCTTTCTTATTTTGTCCTCGTCTAGTTTCAGTGTCAGGGTTGTATTACTCTTATTATTTGGGGACAAACCATCTAGGACTAGAGCAGAAATGAAATATAAAATGAAGATACAAGAGGAAGGATTGTATCTTTCTTTGTTTCGTTGGTTTCTGCTCTAGCAACAAGGAGCTAATTCTCTTTTTCCTTTTCTGATTTAAGAGCATAGCTCCTTAATTTGGAGATCTTATTCTTTTGTAACATATTTATTTAAAACTATAAATTAGTCTTCAGTATACCTAAGCTACATTCCATATGTTTTGGTACATAATAGTCTTATTTCCATTTAGTTGTAAATATTGAAAATTTTCCTTCATTTCTTTTAATATATTTTTAATTTTTAAAACGTGAATTTTCTTTAAGTCACATTTTTATAAATACTTTCTAACAACTGCATTACAGTCAGAAAATATGGTCTATATGATATAGACTCTTCAAGATTTCTTGAACCTTGCTCTGTGGTCTGGTTTATAGTCAATTTTTATAAATGTTTCAGTTGGGCTTGAAAATAATATGCATTCTCTAATTATGACATGGATTCTACATGTATTTATTAGATCATGTTTATTACATTGTTTATATCATCTATATTCTTGCTAAAAATTTGCCTGTTTTCTTAATCACTGAGAGTTGTGATAAAAAACATGATTTTAGATTTGTCATTTTCTTATAATTTTGTCAAATTTTATTTATTTTGAGGTCATTAACATGGACTCATTTTAAAGCTCTTTATACCCAAATTCTGTATTAAATAAGAAAGCTGTTTTCTAGTACTCTATTATGGAGTGGATTTCATTTACAAAACTTGCCAGAACATGTTCTTTCTCTGACAAATAAACAGGGTGTCATTGTATTGCATATGCTATATTTGTGATTTTTATAATTCTCTAAGAATTGCAGCCATTCTCCATCTGGTCAGACAAAGCCAGAATGATCACAATGTAATGACTGTTCAATCCTGAATAGGACAATTGAGAGATCTTCTTGCTTGAATGCTTTAAGAAATATGACACAGATCATTTCTATTTTATAGTTTAGGTGGAATTTCTAGAAAAAAGACTGTGACTTTCTATCTGCTATTATTCTAACATATGATAACCATAAAGTTGGGGGAGTGCTTTCCTTTAAATGTGTGGGACTCTTTTTAGCAATCAATTTACACCACTCATGCACACAGAAAAGGAGATGCCTACTAATCAGGTCCATCTGGGCTTTACAAGTTTAATTTCTAGACGACTATTGTTGCTTATGAGGAACACTAGTAATTGTAATCTGAAAGCCAGTCACAAAACAATGCACCACATGCCTCAGTGTGGCAGCCTTTAGGTACTACAGTCACCTCCTCAATTTATTTTTATTTTATTTTATAAAATATTTTATTTATTTATTCATAAGAGACTCAGAGAGAGAGGCAGAGACATAGGCAGAGGGAGAAGCAGGATCCGGGAGCCTGATGCAGAACTCGATTCCAGGACCCTGGGATCACACCCTGAGCCTAAGGAAGATGCTCAACCACTGAGCCACCCAGGTGTCCCTCATGCCATCAATTTATTTAAAGAT